CTCCTATTTACCTTGGCGCAAATACCATTTGCCAGGCTAAGAAGTAAAATTGTAAATGAATTATTGGATCCATTAGCAAAATCCATTTACACAAACTTAATGCCAAAGCAGCTAGCTGCCCCACTCCACTGCTGCGAGTGGAAAACTTTACACACTTCGTTGAACTTTTTGGCAGACGAAAGGCTAAGTAGAAAGGCCGAAAAGGGTTGGGTTTTTGAGTTGAGTTGAGGTGGAAATAAGAACTTAGCAATTAAAAAATAAGCAAAGCAAAGAAAACATTTTTAGAATTACGCATAATGCGCAAAGGGGTTGTGATTGCAACAGAGCAGCAGAGGTTTTCCTCAGACTGGCCCAAAACTTCCGTTTCCTCGGCGAAATCGAACGATTTGCATAGGAAAATAGACCAATGTGGATGGTCTGTGAATTTGGCCTCCAGCTAGTGGAACCCCAGACTTGTTTGGGGATGGGTCATGTCACAATATTATTTTAACTTTGGCCTCAAGTGAAAGTTGGTGGTGCTATTCGAGTTACTCGAAAACGATTTTAAGTGTAGACGATGTGCACAGCGCTGTTTTATGTGATTAGTTATTGGTTTATTTTGTTAATGTATTGTTCGGGATCAACAGGCAACAAAAAATTGGCGAGCGCAGTTTATGTAACAATAACATGGCGGCAAATTTATTTACTTTTTTTACGCACTCGCTTTTCAATTTATTTACAAACCACTTAATTTGTTTTTATTTAATCAGATTCTGATTTAATTACATTCTATATGCCGCGTTAAGTCCGAAATTAAAAATGCATACGCTTCGATTCCAGATTTTCATTTTTTTTCCACCAATTCCCCATCAATATTTATTGGAGTGTCCACGTGGCTCAGTGTTTTTTTAATGCAATTACGGGCAATGCAAACAATTGGTTTTTATGGACTTATAAACCATTTTTATGACCAACTTGTCTGTCTCTGCCTTTCACCCTCTCCGCCGAGATTTATATCCTGCTTTATATTTTTATGTGTATTAATATATTTTCGCAGCTCTGTTTGAATATTGTTGGTAGTGTGCATTAAGTGGCATTAATTATTATTTATGACATTGTTTTTGTCATTTGATTTTGATGATATTTTTCAATGAATTATTGCCGCAGCGACTTTCTTTTGTTCCGCTCCGCATAAAATAAAAATTAATTAAACTTGTTAAAAATATGGAAGCCTTTGTTCCGCCCATGTAAAAACTAGCCATTGTCTTATATGTGTTTTGCGTTACTCAACCCTTTACACTAATCTATCTCAAAGTAACATAAGCACTTCCCATTATTCCCGGATAGTTTCCTCTGCAGCAGTGCAACAAAAAAAGCATTTTGATTGACCACAAAGCGGGATATTGATTTACGGCAACAGTTATCAGAAAGTGTAGGACAGAATTGGCCAGAAATGAGGCTTAATGCTGAGCCAGGGCCAACTGTCGCCAGTCGCCAGTTGCCAGTTGCCACTAAGGCTTCCCATCAGCTTCTGCTGACACTTGAGCATCAGAGGGCCGGTGGTCGGTGGTCGGTGGCCGGTAAATCACATGAGCCGGGCCAAGGGGCCAACCAAAAGCCAGGCCAATAAGCCAGTCAGTAAGCTGCAACTGGTAACTTGAGCCCACACAAAAGGGAAACAGCAGGCTGGCCAATTCGACGCCAGAGCCAATTGAGCAGAAAACCAGAAGGCGCCATCGAGGAGAATCCCCAAATCGGAGAATCGGGGAATCGACGTGCGATGGCAACAATCCTTTTGGGCCATTGGTATTTTGACACTTGCCACTCAACGACAACAGTTATTTGGGCTTATAATGAATATGAGCAACACATCGAAGGTCATGCTGCTCAAAACGAAGTCCTTCAAGGTCCTGTTGGCTTTTTTCTTGTTTTTTGCATGGGTGACATGTGGCGCCACGTAGTCATCCGCAAAACCAAAGCAATATCCGGACCCGGCAACCAGCAGGAAACCCAAGCCGACTGATAGATGGATAATTTCCAAACTTACTTTGAGACCCCAAGTCCCTAATGAAGACGGCAACAAAATGTTCTTACCTAATGAATGGCAGTCAGGGGGATTTCTGGATGGACTGCCTCCGTGGAATGAACCTCCAACCCAAGAAGTGCGCTTTGACTCATTAAAAAATACATAAAAATTAATTCTAGGTGGGCTGCATGATTCTTTTTCATTGTCTATGGTCCACTGTGCTGCTTTAAGTAAATTACATTTAAAAGGGCATTTATATTTGTGAGTGATGTATGAAATATGTAATTTTGGGAAATAAAATGAACAATATTATTGCGCCATTGCCATTAAGAAGGGTGTGCCACATTCGCCTTTATCATTAACTGAATTCCTCTGCTGTTTTTCGCTTCATCCATTTCTTTTGCGCTAGAATCAACAACAATTTTTAATTTCATTTTTCAAAAGTCGCTTTGATACCTGCACGCCGCATTAACACCCCAAAGCCCCCAGACCAAACAAAAATGGAAATCCAAGGCTCGCCCCAGAATTTCCTGCTGATGGACTGGCTGAGCGAATGACTGAGGGACTGAGTGACTGAGTGACTGAATGACTGAGTGAGTGACTGAATGACTGACTACTGCCCAGCCTTCTAGCCTGATAATTTGATATGCCCCGGTCCGTTAATGCGGTGGGTTCATAAGGGCAAAATGGCGTGGGGCGCTTTAATTTTATTTGCACAAAAATGCGCGTCAATATTACCGAAAAAATACATTTAGACAAGGCGACGTTGCCTCGTGTTGTTTTCATTCCGTTTTTTATTTTTTCTTTTTTTTTTGCTCTGTGGCCAAAGCAAATAAAATTCATTATGAATTTCTAATTATATTGCAAGGCAACCCTCGAAAAAAGCCAAAAGTTGCCTCAAAAAAGTTTACATTTTTTCCGCACCAAAGGGGGGGCTCTTTGGAAAATGTCAAGCCGCACATTTGACAATGATGAATTTCCTGTTGGCCAGCAACCCCAGCAAGGGTGGCCAAAAAGAAAATGCTTTAGATAAACTGATTAGGCACATCAATTGGGCAGCGCAACGAGTGCTCTTCTGGCTCAGGAAAACCGCCGCCTAATGGCAATTGTTTTGTGAAAATTGAATTTTCCTCTGTACTGGCGGGCATTGCATTGTCTGCCCGGTTACAAAAAAAAAACTTCGGAAAAGCGTCGGCTGTCTAATTAGAAATATGAAATAAGGCAAATGTTTTGCGCTGTTCTGCACCTGCTGCCACAGATAATGAGGCTGAAGGTGAGCCTGGGTATCTGGGGATGGCACAAGGTATTTGTTTAAATTATTATTGGACTTAATTATTGCCAAGCTGGTTTCCCAAGAATGCGCAATAATGGAAACCAATTTCAAGTTTTCGCGGCAAGGAGGTGAATTAAAATGTGGGAGGGGCTTGGAAAAGTTCCGTGTTCGTTGTACAATTGATGTTGATAATTTACAATGGATCTCAATGTCTTAATGGCATTGTATCGTAATTTATATTCCTTGGAAACGTATTAGAAGAGTAATAATAGAGAAAGTTATTAAATAAGGCATAAGTATAAGAAGAAATGGTTTATTTTCAGAGCCGAGTTTGCACGAAAAGTTTTATCGAGCACTAAAGCTTAAGTCAACACCAATGCTGGTAAGAGTAACTCAATCTGACCATAGAGCACATTAATTCACACATTAAGCTATTTGGCATTGATTTCTATTTGCCCAGCAATGGTTGGCTGATTGATGATATCGAAACTAGCTGAAATAAACAGAGCAAACGACCCAAAAGACCAAAGCAAATAGTTGGTAGATGGAAACGGGGATTTGTGGCTAATAGACAGTGGGCATGGGCTAATATCTGGGCCACAACGATATAGGATATATGGGATATAGGATGTATGTTGGGTTGGGCGTGGGGCAAACAATGAGATGATGATGAGCCGGCCCTCCGATATAAATCAAAGAACAATGAGACACACAGATACAGATATGGCTGCGGATAAAACGCACACACAATCGAGGACATTCGAGGATAATGCCGCCTCTCATCACGAACACGCCTTTCAGGCCTCGCCGCCCCCCAACCACCCGGTTTTTCCGAGTTTTCATTGTCAAGCAGCTAAGCAGCGTGTGAGGATTATTTCGCATTCCTCGGCAAGGACCCGCCATGTCCTTTGTCTAATTGGTTGTGTCACACACGAGAGCAGATCCCTGAGTACATCGGATCACAGAGATCCATCCCCATCGCATTGTTGTGACTGCCGTCATTAGCTGTCCCATTTCGACTTCTGCCCAAGTAGCGTCTTTCTGCCGCTTTGTTTGGGGTATTTAATGCTTCAATTGATTCCAGATTGAAGTGCCTCCCCGTGTGCCCAGAAGCAGCTGCCCAAGATACAGGCAACCCAGCAGGTTGTCGGCTCTTTTGGAGCGGCTCGGGGTCAGCTAATTGAAAGTCTTTCACCTTCATCAGGAGCCAAATGACGACAGCGATGATGTTGCGTAAAAGAGGTGGATCACGAAAGAAGCTATTGAAGTGCCATTAGTAACTGCATTATATACACGGTTTTTATGGTTAAACTACAAATGCAAAGCACTAAAAATAATGGCTGTTAGTTCGTATAAGGAAGACTTTTTTAATTATACAACTTGCATATTAAACCTCTTTAGTCTTCTATCTTGTCAACAATTATTATGTAGAACATATAACATTTGCTGGTTTCAGTAGTTTTTTTGCAATGAGGCTAAACAAAAATCGAAAACACTCTCTAAAGACGTGAAATACATTGCCATAAAAAAGACCCCTAAAAGTTGAGTCACGGCAATCCGTGAAATTGAATTAGCTGACAGGGCAGCACAAACAAACGCAGTAAAGTCGGAAAACATTGACAGGAACTACGTAATGCCTGAAAACCTGATAATGGCATCATCGGCAGCCCAGTGAGATAAGCAAAAATATAGCAGCTGAGCCATAAAGCTTTTGAATGAGATTTCAGTTGCTAATTACCAGCCATAAAGTCGGGACGTGGTCTCCGCCAAAAGATGGGTTTCCAGTTGTATTATATACTGGGTTTGCTCAGTGTGACGAGCCTGGCCCATGCCGCCAGCAATCTGATTTGTTACTATGACTCCACCTCGTACTTGCGCCAGGGTTTGGCCAAGATGCATACCAACGAACTGGACTTGGCCCTGCAGTTTTGCAGCCACTTGGTTTACGGATATGCGGGCCTGAAGCCCGGCAGCCTCGAGCTGTTCAGCCTGAATGTGGATCTGGACATGTTCTACTACAAGGACATAACCGCGCTGCGACAAAAGTATCCGAAGCTGAAAATCCTGCTCAGCGTGGGCGGAGATCGCGACGTGGATGCGGACCATCCCAATAAATATGTGGAGCTCCTGGAGGCGAATCGCACTTTCCAGCAGAACTTTATTGACAGCAGCATGATTTTGCTGAAGAGGAACGGATTCGATGGCCTGGATCTCGCGTTCCAGTTGCCCCGCAACAAGCCCCGAAAGGTCCATGGATCCTTTGGGTCTTTCTGGAAGTCATTCAAGAAGTTCTTCACTGGCGACTTTGTTGTGGATACTCGGGCGGCAGAGCACAAGTCGCAGTTTACCGATCTCGTGGGCAATTTAAGGAATGCTTTCCGATCTGCCAATCTCATGCTTTCCCTCACAGTCCTGCCCAATGTGAACTCCACTTGTAAGTACAGTTCCCCGTTCTATATATATACCTACCACTTTTCAATCAAACTCTTCGCCAGGGTACTTTGATGTGCCCAAGCTGCATCCCCAGTTCGACTACATCAACCTGGCCGCCTTCGACTTTCTCACGCCCTTACGGAATCCGGAGGAGGCGGACTTCACCGCTCCGATTTTCTTCCAGGACGAGCAGAATCGCTTGCCCCACTTGAATGTGGAGTTCCAGGTCAACTACTGGCTGCAGAATCAGTGTCCGGGCCAGAAATTGAACCTGGGTATAGCCAGTTACGGAAGGGCTTGGGCTCTATCGAAGGGATCCGGACTTAGTGGAGCTCCCATTGTGCACGAGACATATGGACCTGCAGCCGGCGGAATACAAATCCAGAGCACTGAGGGCCTGCTCAGTTGGCCGGAGATTTGCTCCAAGTTGTCGCAGAACGCATCCGCTCAATATAGAGGTGAATTGGCTCCGCTCCGCAAGGTGACGGATCTTACCCAGAAATACGGAAACTACGCCCTCCGGCCGGCGGATGAAAGGGGAGAATTTGGCGTCTGGCTGAGCTTCGATGATCCGGATTTCGCTGGAATAAAGGCCATATATGCCAAGAGCAAAGGACTCGGCGGTGTCGCCCTCTTCGACTTGAGTTACGACGACTTCCGTGGACTTTGCACTGGCCAAAAGTTCCCCATTGTGCGCTCAGTAAAGTACTTTATGGGATAAATCATTTGTTCGTTATCGCTAATAGCCTTGTATGTTAAGATTTTAAATAAATGTTACAATTAAATAACAAATATTATTATAATGTTTGCTGTGGGAAACTCGAAAACATTTTTGATTTACTATACAATAAGTACCTAGTACAAATCGTTGAGATAATGGCTTCCTATTTACTCAAAAGAGCAAAATAAAATGTTTTCAGCGGATCTGAAAATTCCAAAAAAATTCCCAGACATTTTGCCGCTTTGCAAAACAAAAACTGAATTATAGAGTGCGTGTGATAAACAAAATCAAGTGGTAAGACGGGTATTTCCAGCGCATAAAGTTCTACATATGTGTACTTGCGAAATCAGAAATCGGAACTACTGTTTTCGAATTCTAATCAGCAAGCGCGTTTCAATGTTTTGAGATTAGTTGCTCGTTTTGTTTTTTTTTGTTTTTATTTTTAGAGGTCTCAACGTTTTGACCCTGCGTCTGCCTCGTCGCAATCGTCATTAACTTGTGTACACAATTAAGTTGTTGCGAGTGTAAGTAAGGCAGCTATGAGCTCGGTTTCACATCGACTTCAGACCCTCGAAAAGCTCGGTTCAAGCTTTTTGTCGTCAGCTTGGCCTGGGGTTTCTGTTTCTGTTTCGGTTTTGGCTTGGGTTTCGTTTTCCATTTCGATTCCCAGTCTCAGTTCGATTTCATTTGATTTGGTCTGCGGTCGTGCCCACAGAGATATAACCAACGCACCATGAAGGCGTGGATCTGGCTTTCGTTTGTCGCGTGCCTCTTTGCGGCAAGTACAGAAGCTGCCTCCAACCTGGTCTGCTACTATGACTCTTCCAGTTTCACCAGGGAAGGTGAGTGAGGGGGTACTCCACACAGTGAATATGGCAAGCAAATATGCCAGTAACTTCAGAAAACGTAGATCACAAGTTGAGGTTTGATTTTCCAAGGTGTCGTGTCATATTCTTTTAGCAATCAACGCACAGAAAAAGTGCCCAAGTGGTACACAAATTTGTTTATATATATTGCAAACTAATATGTTGTTCACCTAACTACAATTTGTTGAATGAGTGAAAACTGGCTTCTACGTAGTCACTCGATTAGCACTTAAACAAGTTGTAGATGCCACTTGCACAGCTTGAAAGAACAGAACTTTAATAAATTCTATTTAAAAATTATTTACCAACTAAGCCACGCTTTGAACGAAACAAAACATTTAATAAATGAGAAAAAAAAAACCATGGAAATATTGAAAGTTCATTTTGTCATTTCAAAGATTGACATATAAAGCCTACATGTCCCAAATTTACGAGCGAGTGAAAACAAAATCAAGTTACATAACCATTTCTGACTCAAAACAAAACTCGGACTTAATTCAATTCAGCTTACAGCTTATCGCCTGGCGAGCGAAACGGAGAGATAAAGAGAGCCCAGCTAGTTTTATAGAGGTCAGTGGCTTATCTGCCAGTTTATTTCATTTCAAAATAAGACAGAGATTGGCGCTCCCGCAGAGTTGGGCTTGCAAAGCGTTAAAGAGCGCAGTTTTGATCGGATTAACAAGCTAATTTGAGCGGGTGCAACTTACCGCACAGTGGTAGTGGAATGAATACGCGAAATATGGCAATTAGCGGATTATTTTCGGTATCGGACGAGTCTATATCGAGCCTATATAGAGCCGATCCCACGCATTCGAAATGAAAACCAGAGCGTTCAACACACAGCGAGTCCAGCACGACAACTGCCCCGCCTGCGGACGCTGACTTGGCACCAGCGATCCGAGCAAGTGGCAAGCAGAGCGCCAAGTGACTCAGCAGCGCGGCACAGTGTGCTGGGGATGGGGGAAAATGGGGCGAAAATTAAATTAGCGAATCAGCCAATTAGGTGGATGGGAAATACCTTGAGGCGCGTCGTTAAGGCAAATAAACCTCAAGTTTAAATTTTAAAAAAAATATGTTCAAATATATTGGGAAGTAAATAAAAGTAGTTGAGTGAAAATCTGTTGGTCGAAGTGTGCAATGAAGGAATTTTTTTATTTTATTTTTTTTTTAACAAATTTGTAGCCAGCTTTTAGACATCTCGACCCACTGTGCTCCACACCAGAGTCGAACAATAATAAACCGCTCGCTGGGCTCACGCTGCTGGCGTTCAATTAAGCCACTGAAGTCGACGAGACAATGGCTCAGCATCCGAGGGGGCTGGTGGTCAGGGGGAGATCCGATCTCCGGCGATCTCCGCTCCCCGGTAGTTTCAACCGAGAGCGAGAGTGTTGGGTGTCAGATCGCTGTGCCCAGATAGTGTCCCACAGCAATGACCACTTCGCGTCTCTGGTTATTTGTCATTCGAGTGCAGCCTGCCTACTGAGAATGCCATCTCTCGAATCTAAACCGTGCATTTTGCAGGTCTGGGCAAGATGCTCAATGCCGATCTGGAGATCGCCTTGCAGTTCTGCAGCCACTTGGTCTACGGATACGCCGGGCTACGAGGAGAAAACCTGCAGGTGCACAGTATGAACGAGAACCTGGACATATACAAGCATCAGTACTCCGAAGTGACCTCCCTGAAGAGGAAGTATCCCCACCTGAAGGTCTTGCTGAGCGTGGGCGGCGATCATGACATCGATCCGGATCATCCCAACAAATATATCGATCTGCTGGAGGGCGAGAAGGTTCGTCAAGTTGGATTCATCCGCTCGGCCTATGACTTGGTGAAGACCTACGGCTTCGATGGCTTGGATCTGGCCTATCAGTTCCCCAGGAACAAGCCCAAGAAGGTTCACGGTGACCTGGGCTCGGCATGGAAGAGTTTCAAGAAACTGTTCACCGGCGACTTTGTTGTGGATCCACACTCAGCCCTTCACAAGGAACAGTTTACCGCTTTAGTGAGGGATGTCAAGGACTCCCTGAGAGCTGATGGATTCCTGCTCAGCCTGACTGTGCTGCCCAATGTCAACTCCACTTGTAAGTGTTTCAAAATCATCGTAATATTCATACTTTAGTTCAATTATGACTCTAGGGTACTTTGATATTCCCGCGCTGAATGGCTTGGTGGACTTTGTGAACCTGGCCACCTTCGACTTTCTGACTCCAGCTCGCAATCCCGAGGAGGCGGACTATAGCGCTCCCATCTACCATCCCGATGGGTCAAAGAATCGGCTGGCTCACCTGAACGCCGATTTCCAGGTGGAGTACTGGCTGTCGCAGGGATTCCCAGCTAATAAGATCAATTTGGGTGTTGCCACCTATGGCAATGCCTGGAAACTCACCGGGGCCTCTGGGCTCGAAGGAGTACCTGTGGTGCCAGATACAGTGGGACCAGCACCCGAGGGCTTGCAGTCGCAGAAACCAGGACTACTTAGCTATGCTGAAATCTGCGGAAAGCTGTCCAATCCCCAAAACCAATTCCTCAAGGGCAACGACTCGCCACTGCGACGGGTTTCAGATCCCACCAAGAGATTCGGGGGCATAGCTTATCGCCCCGTCGATGGCCAGATAACCGATGGCATTTGGGTGAGCTACGACGATCCCGACTCGGCCTCCAATAAGGCGGCCTACGCCCGCGTCAAGAACCTGGGGGGCGTGGCACTGTTCGATCTGAGCTACGATGATTTCCGTGGGCAGTGCTCAGGCGACAAGTATCCCATCCTGCGAGCCATCAAATATCGTCTGTAAATCGAAAAATATACGTGCACCACTCTAAATAAATAATGATCCATTATATACAAAGCCCAGTAGCGTTTATCTCTATGAAACATTAAATTAAATACACAACATATTAAATATTTTCTTGGGAGGCTGTATGTACACTTTCTTTCTATGTACCACTTGCCATTGGACCTTGAAACAATTAATTATAAATAATTACAAATGCATAGTAAGCTCCTACGCAATCCCTTGAGCATTTCCAAGCAAAATATTTACACATTTTTGGGCCTGAGTAACGAACAGCGACCTTGCTAATTCGTCAACACCTTATGAGGTGCAGACTTATCACAACCCGTAGAATTAGCCTATTTAAACTATGAGTCGTTGTGGGCATTATCTCGAGAAAACGTATAATCCGTCCTTTTTTGTGTAAACTACCCAGCCGAGAGGTGATCTCATTGAACTCGATGTCAGCTGGCAGTTGAGACAAACAATTTTGTTGAATTTCGTTGATAATGATACCCACGAATTGAGTACGCTATTGTTCGTCTGGGTTTTCGATTCAGTACGGCGAATCGCGCGGAGGTGATTCCACAGAAAAGCTTAACAGCTCGTATTTATTCCCATTCCCCGTGCCAAGTGTCATTTCGAATTCAGTTTGGTTTCGCATCTCGCCGGCGACGGACCGCAGTGCACAGTTGTATCTCTGAAGTACATATATAGTATTTGTTTTGATTTCGCTGAGCTCTCTGGCTGTATCTGCGTACAAAGATGACTGGCTCTCTGTGGCTCAGTTTGGCACTCAGCTTGGCGGCTTTGGCTCAGTTCCAAGTGAGTGCCGCTCCTAATCTGGTTTGCTTCTATGACTCGCAGGGCTTCCAGCGCCAGGGTAAGTGCTCCTAATTGGGGAACGTACTATGTGTATCTACATTTGTAAACCCCCCGGTAGGCCTGGCTCAGTTTTCGATGACCGACATGGAGCTGGCGCTGCAGTTTTGCACCCATTTGGTCTACGGCTATGCGGGTGTCAATGCCGATAGCTATGAAGTGCAGAGCATTAACAAGCGACTGGACCTGGAGCAGCGCCACCTGGCCCAAGTCTCCAGCCTGAAGGAACGCTATCCCCACATCAAGTTCCTCCTGAGCGTGGGCGGGGATGCCGATACGAACGAGGGCAACCAGTACATAAAGCTGCTGGAATCGGGACAGCAGGGCCACAGACGCTTCATCGAATCCGCTCGGGATTTGGTGAGGCGTTATAATTTCGATGGCCTGGACCTGGCTCTCCAACTGCCCAGAAATAAGCCACGCAAAGTTCACGGGGATGTGGGCTCCGCCTGGAAGAGTTTCAAGAAGTTCTTCACCGGCGATTTCATTGTGGATACCGAGTCCGAAACGCACCGGGGACAGGTGACTGCCCTGGTCAAGGATTTGAGTGCTGCTCTGAAGCAAAACGATCTGCTGCTCAGCCTCACCGTTTTGCCAAATGTGAACTCAAGCTGTAAGTACTTTGTTTATTCCGACGATCTGCTGTAATTAGATGAGTCAGAAAAGTGTTATCGATGGAACCGCTGATATAACCAACTTTGTTAATTGATGCAGCTGTTCAAACAAGTTGGTTTAGAAAGCAGTCGCGAATGAGTTGTTATAGAACACGTATTGTACCATTTTCCAGGGTACTACGATGCGCCTTCGATCGCTCCAAGCCTGGACTTCATCAACCTGGGAACTTTTGACTTCTTGACCCCGCAGCGCAATCCCGAGGAGGCGGACTTTTCGGCGCCCACATACCAGGCGGTTGGCGAAAATCGTTTGGGCCACTACAATCTCAACTTCCAAATGGAGCACTGGCTGCTGCAAAGAGTGCCTGCGAATAAGATAAACATTGGCATCGCCACCTATGGCAGGGCATGGAAGCTGACCAAGGATTCGGGTGACTCTGGCATGCCCGTGGTGCCCTCCACCCAGGGACCCGCTCCAGCGGGACCACAGAGCAAAAAGGAGGGTCTGCTTAACTGGGCTGAGATCTGCTCGCTGATGCCGAACCCCAGTAACTCGAATGCCAGAGGTCCCAATGCGCCGGTGAAGAGGGTTCTGGATCCCACAAAACGTTATGGCAGCTACGCCTTCCGTGCCGCCGACGAAAATGGAGACCACGGCCTTTGGATCAGCTACGACGATCCGGACTCGGCCTCCAGCAAGGCCATGTACGCCAGGGTGAAGAATCTCGGCGGAGTGGCTCTCTTTGACCTGACCCAAGACGATTTCCGTGGTCAGTGCACAAACGATCGCTTCCCCATGCTGCGTGCCATCAAGTACCGTCTTCTCTAAGCCGACTGCTCCAGGCGACTCCTCCAAGCCGACTTCTCCAAGCCGCCTTCTCTAGACCAGGCCATAAAGACATCTCCAGCACGCAAATGTCACAAGAAAAAATGGGGAAGCGGAGCTGGGAGGGAACAAATGTCACCCTTTCCTCCTTCTGTGTCTGTCCCTTTTGCAAATTAATTACAAAGTTGTAAACTAAAATGCACCGCAAATTAATTCGATGGGCTTGGTCCTCAAATGGGGAGGGGAATGAAGGTAAGCGGTATGTACTGAGAAAAAATCCATATACATACTCATATTCATATACACGCAACCAAAACATATTTAATACTGAATTTTTAATTACTTCCCGAAAGTTTCATGATGTCACAAACAAAAGCAATTTAATTTTATAGTGTTTAACCAACTGGGTGCGCATATTTTTTGTAAGTGCAACGATGCACTGCTGCTCTCCCGTTTAATTGCCCCTTTTGCATTGAATTGTTTGGCGCCCACGTCTGGGCGAATCGGCCGCTTTATCATCTCGAACCCATCTTGGTCAAATGGCATTTTACGGCGGTTTTTTCTTGGCCGATTTTCCACTCTTTTTGTGGCCCAGCAAAAGATTTACAGATTTCGCCACAGCGCTCGAACTGCTTAACTTGGCTTTGTGTAATTGGCGCTACAAACGCGACTCCGAACAACTCGATCCGCGATCCATATGCGTACTCCATGGCTGAACTTGCTCCTCTGGGCCGCGTGCTCCCCCAGCCTCCTGTTTACAGGATTGCTGACATACCACCATGCAAAGGCTGCCACTACAGTGAACTGTGGCCACAAGGACCCGGATCGGGGGTGTCTGGGCCGACTGCCTCGACTGGCGACGACAGCGACACGATGTAAGACAACTAAATTAAGTTATTGTTTCTTGGCCCAAGTCAACGCGCCTATTAACTAGGGAATACCCTTCACTTGGGCGTGGAGATACACGTATGGGAAATACAATTATTCCCGATGCCAAGGTAATGAAAATGGGGAATTCAGCTAAAATCCAAATAATAGGAATAAACTAAAAAATAGGAAAATGAATTTCAGCAATGAAAAAACATTTCAAATTAATTTTTTTTCTCTTTTAAATTCAAAATCTATATTTAATTCAACATATTTTTGTACTCTGAGATATTAAAGCCACCAGCCCCGAACTCAAGTATCTTTAAGTGCACTCTCCATTTATCTAATAATCTTTGGCCAGCCGGAGAATTTCCTACTTATGAATACGCCGTGTGACGGGTCTCCCACACTTACCCTATCCACAGATACAGCCAGGTTAACCAAATTCAAGCCCTTGGAGCTGGGAGCTTGGAGCTTGGAGCCTGTTGGAAGTCCTAGTTGCTATCTAGGCGGCTTATCTGGGAATCGTGATCTTATTAAGCTGACTATACACTCGGAAATTATTTGCAATTGGCGCAATGCCTTATTGGAATGCAAAATATGCCATTAGTGGCAGAAGTCGAGACTTGGCCAGCCTAGCCAGCTTAGCAGCTTCCCAGACTCCGAGCTAAGGGCCCAAAAGGGCATGGATTTTGGTTAACTATATTGGTTAGATGGGCTGGTGCCAGGGAAGGGAGTGGGCAGGAGCAAGCCACTTGCATGGCTTACAAGTTGTAAACACGGCATTGTTTTGGCCACCGTTCCATAATATGTCCCAGAGCAGAACTTCAGTTGCAATGCACTGCGAGAAAACCGTAATAGTATAATTACTATATTTATAAACATTTATAACTTTTAAGTATTTCCCCAATTATCTGTAGGAACGCTTTATCTGTTCCCGCTTTAATATTAACACTAATACAATACTTGATATTTAAAACAAGAAATGGTTTATATTTTTGAGTGTAAGCTACTTGCACATATCGTCGATCGTGTTCCTAGGCTGGGGAGGAGGACGAGGACGGAGCTGGGGAGCAGCTACCGGATTTCTTTGGGCTTGTCGCCCCATCTAATTAAGGAGCATTTGGTCCATGGCGGCGTCTACAAGATCTGTTCATGATTATTGCCCCGGGCCATATCGCCGAATCGCCAGGAGCTCCCTGCGAATGACAAATATGCTGCCTTGCACCAGGGACTCCAACTGGGAGTCAGGAGTGGCTCCTCTGTTGTCTTCCAAGGAAGCCAGTCGCTGGCTGCTCTTTAAATAAAGATATTTTCGCCCTCATTACGCGCTGTGTCCTTTTGTTTGTTTCTGTGTTTTCGTTTTCCCCACTGCGCCTTTGCAGTTTGCTTATTTTTTTATTTTATTTGGATTTTGTGGCCGATGAAGTGTCGCTGATTGCGCGTTGCATTGTTTTGGCCGGGTCGAAAGAGCGATGCTGGCGATAAGAAAATGCATGTGGACTGGTCAGGGATTTGGGTTTGTTAGCCACCGGTTTGATAAGCTGACCGTGCCGATAAAGATTTCCTTGGAAAAGTTGCTTTAGTTTCTGCATTCGCCAGCATTTGGTATTAGAATGACTAAGTATCTCAGACTGCGCGCGCTCAATTTGGCTTATACACACAATGAACTTATTTTACTGCAGGCCATTTCCAGGTCTCATTCTCCTTTTTCCTTCACATTGTTATCGCCCTCTGCTTGCCTTGAGTTTGCATTTTTATTGCTTTGTTAATTTTAAATAAGCCACTCCACTTTATGTTCCTATATGAGTCCGTACTTGGCAGTCGTCGTTAATGGATTTCGTTACAAAACTCAAGAACTGAGAACTGCGAACTGAGAACTTGAGAACTTCAGCCATCAGGCCATCCCAATTGAGCTGTCTGCCCAAAGATCCAAAGATCGTTATCCACCAATTGTCAGCGGGTTGTCACACAAAATGATTTACAGATGACGATCATGGCCAAGTCAATGGCGCCACAACACCGAGTGAGACTTGTGGGAGAAGTTGGTAACATAGCGCCACGTGGAAGCAAGGAACTTCAAATGCTCTGCATTGTATAACATAACCGAATTCAACCAGGTTTATAACCATCCTTACATTTAAGATACGTTTAAGGGCAATCAGAGCTGCGCATAAAACAGATTTGGTAATTGATTACCCACACTTATATGACACACGTTGTTTAATATTTTTTTCGAAGTAAAACTAATTATCATTTTACTTTGTAAGTATACCTCGCAATTCCATGTAGGGTATACAATCAGCATCGTGCAGAGCGGAGATACGTTTATAGATTTTTAACGCCCAGATCGTGAATTCGTCTGACCACAAATGCTTTGAATGCCAAAATAAAAGGCTCCAGCTTTGCGCTCCATTCTGCTCCTTACTGTTTTGCCTTTGTTTTTATTTTTTTGTTTTTTTTCATAAACAAGCGACAATAAAAATGTGCCATAACAAGTTAGGGTTATTCTTGTTTAACGAAATAAACAACTCATAAAATTATGCTACACGAAAAACAAAAGTTTTGTTTATATTTTGTGTAGTTTTCTGTTCGCACCAATTAAATTCAATTAGCTGACAGCAGCACAGGCGACTCTATATAGACCGTTGTGATAACCCGACGCCCCGACATACTAGTATATATATATATATATATCGCTTATACACAGCGTTGTGTGTGTCTGCGGCTAGATGTAGCGCCACTGCCTCGTAAAAGGTTAGTTTAAACAAATAAACACGTGGAATTTAATGAAGAAACGTGTGTGGCTCCGTGAATTATATGGCTTTCGATGGGATGTGAAAAAATGTTGCAGAGCGATCCAAACTAAGGGTTGTAAGTTAATACTGTAAGTGCATCTAAATTGGCTCTACTAAAAAACGGTTGGCAAATAATTAGCAATATTAAGGTAAATTTAAGCACACTAATTCCGAAATATTTAATTTAATCACTTGAGTTGCGGAAAAGCTGCTCTATATATAAAATACTCGAGTTATAACAAAGTTATTTCAACAAACTTTGAAAAAATTTGAAGACTTTCTAAGGTATATAAAAATCGGGCCGTGTAACTAAACCAAATGCCAGCAGCAACAGAAACAACAAATAAATTGCCAAAGACTTGTGGTCACCGAAGAATGTGCATAAACATTTGCCAAACTTTTGATTGCGGCACTAAAATGCCTAAATGAAGAAACGTGTGAAATTGCATTTGAATCGGGACAAAACTGCTAAATGGGAACTACGGCCAATCGAAAGGAATTGGGAGGGCGAGGGGCGAGGGGCGAGGGGCGGATGACGACGCGCCTAAAGCAAACAAATAAAACGCTGCAACTAAATGGCCAACTAACAGCATCAGCATCAGCATCAACATCGCATCAGCATCAACATCGCATCGACTGGCGGCACGCTTTAGAAATTTAATTAAATCGTCAGAGAAACAATAAAAACTACACTACAGCACACACATCGAGACATTTTTATTACGCACTGTGCGCAATAACTCAAAAAATACTTGCCCCGTGTATCATTAAAATCAAAAATCACCCACGCTGGGTGGGATTTCGATTCGGACTTTCAGGGGCCAACTGGCACAATTTGCCATTAAAAATGTTTAGATGCACAAATAAACACTAAGCGGGCAATCGTTAAATATCGCCCATTCCCCCAAAACAGCAATTCCTCATTTAGCTTGTAAACAAAGACGAGATGGCAGGGAAATTGGTTTTTTTATTTACAAGTGCTATGAGCTCGAAGGAGAGCTATTTAGTTAATTTTCATTATCATATGTGTGAAAAGCTCTCGAGCAAAATGTTTTAGGCTTAAGTGAGTGCTTAGCAAATTGCTGCTCATTATTAGTTACAAATAATAAATTAAATAATAATTATTGGTGCAAGGGACTGACGTTTTGGCTTGTCATAAATTTATTCTAAGCTACAGAGCTGCTGATACATAATGAAATCATTTCCCATAGCCCATCAACTTCGAAACTCAATCAGTGCGAACGCGTTCTTATCTCTCCCCTCGCAAGGCGCCCAAAAAAGAAAATGGACCAGCCCATACCCTTATTTTCCATTCAGAAATAGAAATTAGTATGCAAC